TCTACGTTTTGGCCTGTCATCCACACGAAAACAGAGTTTTTTCACACGAAAACGGATCTTTTTAAAAACTCCGGCCAAAGTGAAGATCTGCGTTTTCTCCGTTTTGGGTGTCTGCGTGTGGACGGACAAAACCGGAGTTTTAAGGTCCGCAACGTCACTTTCCGCGACAAAAAATGCTGGCATCACGTGTGCGACCTGTGTTTACACTAGCCGACAGCATGGATGCCCTCGGAGCTGCGCTCTGTCACTACCCGATCCATCAATTGTCCAAGCGCATTCTGCTTGTTTGTTTTTGCAAGCGGAATTACTGCTCCTTGCGGAAGACCACAGACGAAGGACGAGGTTAAGTACGGGGGAGGTACTGCCGCCTACAGGTCTGGCATGTCCTTAACAACGTATTTATCCGGGTACGTGTGGACAGAGTTTGTTTTTAAAACGTGTGGTGTGGATGCAAGTTTTTGGAGGGGCGGATATTCGTTTTCAAAAAAACCCCGGCTACGTGTGGACTAGGCCTTAAGCTATGCAACATAAACTATTGCAGGCTGTTAATAATTAAACATTCCAAAAATATTTTATGCCTAGTTTTACCATCAAATATTTGTTGTGTTTACTCTATAAAATTTATATTTAGCTGAAGATATTGCAGAAATGTCTCTTGACCTTGTAATGGTTGCAGACCTCTGTCCTGGGGTTTCACCAAAATATTTTCAGACCAGAAAAGAAATACAATTCCTCCGGTGAGTTCTGGGTCTGCCCCAGTATTTATTCTCCATGGGACATTGCCTAAAAATCCTCCAGAGGGTAGTGACCATGGGATATCCCAGTCAGATACCTACACACCTAGGTTTAATCCTTTTGATTTGGAAACGAAGCAGCTCTAACTCTCATCCCCCCTCTTGATGACAGAGCTACTCACCTTATCTCTAACACAGAGCCCAACCACCCTACAGAGGAAGTATATTTCAGCTGATTTTATCTGGAATTTTGTTCTCTTGGTCACAATCCAAATCTCCTGGTTTCACGTGAGGGTTGGAACCTAGGAGCACCAGTAAATCAAGAGTTTTACCTGCAAATGAAGCTGGAGTGTGTATGTGAGTAAAGCTAGGCTATGTGTTAAATTATTTCAAAGTCAAATAAAGATCTCCTCCTGAGTATGTTTTTTTTTCTTCTGTCAATCTATAATTCATCATTATTCAATTCACAGGTGTCTGTTCCTGTGGTTTGACAATATTAGAGATAAAAAGAGAGAGAAGAAGAAAGTAGTACATCTGTTCTCATGACACACGTTTTGGCACCTCATGCAGCCTTAAAAGCGTATTAGCTCTGCCTGGCAGTACATTTAATGGACGAACCCAGAGCGTCTCCACCTGCTGCCTTACTGTGGAGCTCTGGAGGGAAGCTTCAGCTAAAAGCCTGACATGTGCACAGCGCTCGCGGCTCTTTGGTATGCCTGCACACAGTCGAGTTTGATTTAGCACCTACTCCTGGATGCAACACAAAGAGATGAAGGTGTTGATGAGTCAACCCAGCGGCTCGGCCCATCTCTCCCTCGTACTTTCATTACCAGAACAGCTGCCAGTGCTGTCATTGTTAGTCTTTGCAACAGACCTCTCACTAATCTGGGAAATCACAGAAGAATCTGCTAATTTCCTCTGCCATCAATTAGATTAGCACCCTTTTGTAAACCATCACCTATTTGTACTAACTGTATTGACTTCTTGGAGGAAAAATAAATGACAATTCCTGAAGCAGAAAGTAAACACTGATAATATTAAAGCGCATTTTAGTTTGGAGCAAAGGTATTGTGGCATTTCAAAATGATACAATCTATATTTATATTATTTTCCTGAGCCAGTATGTGCTAAAATGACCCTGGGGGTGTCAAACTCCAGTCCTCAAGGGCCGGTATCCCGCATCTTGTTGTTGTTTCCCTGTTCCAACACAGTTTATTCGCCTGTGCAGCAGCTCATAAAGTTCTCCAGAAATATGGGAATCACCTGCTGGTTGAAATCAGGTGTGATGAAACAAGGAAAACACTAAAACATGTGGGATAGAGGCCTTAGAGGACCGGAGTCTTACACCTGTGGTTTACAGGGTCGATTAAATGTCACTCAGACCCGTATCGCCCTGTTTGGCCAGAATATCACTGTGGCGGGCCGCCACCTGTTGGACCTGGCACTGCAGTCTGCTTTCAGCACGTTTTAGATTGTGAACACCGTTGTTTCACTTAGTGAAGAGCAGGTCCTGTAGACACTGATGAAGGCTGGGGAGACATTTCAGCAGTTAGAGTAAGGTGTTATAAAGATAAACGCACAGCAAGGAAAAATGTTTCATTTTCCATTTAACCACAGAGAAATAATAATGGACACTAGGGGGTGCTAAAAGGAAGCTAACTGACAAGTGTGCCTTTAAGTCTTATCATATAACCACTGTTCTACATCACACCTAGATGTCGTTAACTTTTTCTACGTGTAAAAACAATGATTTTGATTTATTAGAATTAAAACACTTGCTACAACAAACATTTGTTCTAATCAAAACCAATTGGCATGCTTGTGGTTGGTCTGTTAGTCTGGCTTTTCATGGATAGATGCAACAAAATGCACATTAGGGTGTACTGCCCATCACTGCCATCCAGTCAGCGGGTTGCTGGTTTCATCCCAGATGCACTCTCTGCATGATTCCCCACAGGACGATCTTGAAAACCAGAAAGTTTATTCAATGATGACTACCAAGCTTATATGTTGAAATATATGGCAACAAAATCATCTTTAATAATAATAATCTTTGCCATACATTACAAGTAAAACATGTGGGCCCATGCCTGAATAAACGAGGAGGTGGTATTGTACCGGTGTACATCTGTCATCAAATGTCAAAAAATCATTCAAATAATATTTTTAAACTACAGATCTGCAGTGGCAGAAAGCACAGCCCCAGTTCCAGTTACATACAACACATGCATGAACGAGTTTTTGACAGATACTCATTTTAGGCACTGATAAGATGTTTCAGACCCATCCCAGTGGGAGTAGGTCTCACGGAAGATCCCGAACTCCCTGGAGAGAATATTATATGTCTCAACTGTCTTGGGAATACCATAGAAAGAGCTGGAAAAGGTAGCAGAGGAGACTTAGATCTATGCTTCCCCTACTGAAAAGAGAGTACAGAGCAACAGATGTGGAAGGACAGATGTTTGAACATAGAGAAGCCTCTCTTAGCTAAAAAAAAAGACAGATATTCCCTTCAGACATGGGCTGTAGGATCAAATGCTAAAACTGATAAATGATGGAAAACCAATCCATGTCTTACTTAAAGGTGCTATATGTAGGAATGACATAATGTGGTCAAACTTGGTTACTGCAGTCTATTTTTCTAAGCAAAAATTTACTATCCCACTGTATTTCCATGAGTTTTGCAGATGTTGCCAGATGCCGATCAGTAACAAAAAACTCTAGATGACAAACAAAGAGGAGTATCCAGTAAACTGATAAGTAGTATAAATTATTAGACTTTGCGGTAACACTCTTGGGTGTTCTAGAGGTACAGCAGTAGTTTTGGAGGTAGAGCAGGTTGTCCGGTAATGGGAAGGTTGCAAGTTTGATCCTGGCTCCAACCAGAGAATGCTGCTGTTGTGTCCTTGGGTAAGACACTTAACGTGCCTTGCCTGCTGGTGGTGATCAGAGAGACTGGTGGAGCCAGTGTATGGCAGGCCTTGCCTCTGTTAGTGCGAGGCTAAATTGTAGCTCATCCTCACCAGCATGTGAATGGGTGGATGACTGAATGTGTTGTGAAGTGCCTAGGACGTTGTCAAACCCTAAACGGGCACTATACAAATACTAGCCGTTTTTACCATGGTAGACAGCATTTACTACACTTATTACTTCCAGCACTAGAGGAAGTGCGGTTTGCTGATTTGTTGTTAGCTTGTTCTAAACGACTCATCAAACAAAGCAAAATGCCACGATTGATTCAATTTTCACTTCACGCATACATTTCACTGTAATATTGAGTTGCTGCTGACATAAAAATTAGCTTAAGATATTGCTTCTAATTCACCGTTAGCATTGTTAGCTCATTGTTAGCCTCCAGCATTCTTTATCTGATATTAAAGGAAAGCAAAATGATGCTCTGGCTTTTGGGGTGGAAGAAACAACTTCTGGGTCACTCCTGCTAACTGGCTTCGGTTCTTTAAACAACTGGAGTGTTTCGCCTGCTGGTGTTGAATCACAAATGCTGGCTCTGCAGCGTCTGATTGTAAACTGTAACTACATCCCTCTTTAGTTTTTCTAAAAGAGAAAAACTGACTCAATATGACCCTACTTCCAACATGATAGACTTTAGACTGTTTTGTGATTATTTCACTGTGAAATTTGTACTTTATTGTAAAATTCTCACATATTGCTCCTTTAAAGTTACATTTTTCCTGGCGATAGGGGGCAGTAGATAACTAAATTGTTGCAAGCAAGCTGTATTTTTGTGTTGAAGTAAGACCTTGCAACTGATGCCCATTAGGGTCAAAAAGCCTTAGGGAGTGCAAACATCAGAAAAATAAAAGCACATCAGACTCCCTTTCATCACCGACAAAAAGTGAAGAGGTCAATGTGTAAAACAACGTTTATGAATGGGGAAATTTTTGTAATGGTTTTTTACAAATCAGTAAATGCATTTTGTCCTCTAGGGCTCCTGTAGGAGGAAGCATGGCATCGCCCACAGATTTAGACCCACTCCCATGTATTTTAGACCAGATTTTTATGGTTATATGTTGAGAAACCACCAATATGTTTTAACACCAGGGCATCATTTAATTCATTTTCAACATTTTGATGGATATTTCCGGAGATTAACAATAAAAACTACACATTGTCCCATTAAAGATTTAATTTGTCTTTATCCACTATTACAATTCATTTAATTTTTTTAGAGTGGTACTGAACAGATGACAGGAACATTGCTGAAACTTTGTGTGATGTTAACATGCGAGTTTGTGTGGTTTTCAGAGCCCTACAGCCCAGCAGTGTGGGTGATGATGTTTGTGATGTGCCTGTCAGTGGTGGCTGTCACCGTCTTCATCTTTGAGTTCTTCAGCCCCGTGGGATACAACCGCAGTTTGCAGAGCGCCAAGAGTAAGAGGCAGAGTCACTCCTGCATCGGCACGCCAATCACCCTACCGCCACTGCTCATTTCACAGCATTATTACCAACCTGTCAGTTTGTCAGTTATGCAAGCGGGTGGGGTGTGTTAACTTTTATTTTATTTTGTTAATTTATTTTTGTCACCACAAGTCAAAGGAATCATTCAACAGTATAGTTTATTTATATTTGATGAAGCAAATGCTGACGGTGGGATGATGGTTGATTTTTGACATTTGGCTATCAGTTGTCAGTTCATCATCTATTCAGATAATTTACTGGGTGCTCCTCTGTTTACCCACAGTTTTACTTAATAATTGGGAAATGTTAGACATTACCTTCTAATAAATTGACACAAGCAGAATTAAGCCAAGTAGAACTGACAGGCATGTTCATCACTGGTTGAAATGGTGTATTCAACCTTAATTCATTTTCATCTTTTGTTTCACTTCATTTATTCCCGTTTAATGCTAAATAATGTATTAACAGTAAAAATTAGATGCAGGCACGCATCGCCATGTTGGTATAAATGCCACTGCAGCACTAAAATGGTTTCATTAGCAAGAATCAGAAGTTACAGAAGTGAAGATGAAAGATGGGGCCATGTACACTTAGCCTAGGTTTGGCAGAGCTAAATATCCTCCCCCACTCACCTAGAAAATAAAAAAAAACTTGTGTCCACATCACCTCGGTTTCAGCATAAAGATCCAGTGTGTTGTGAAGCACATTCATAGGTATGCCAAGACTGTAGGTGGCAGTAGTTTCACAAATAATTAGCATTGCTGCCCAAAAAGCTTCCTGGAAAGTGGAATGACCAGGTGTTATCCTCATCCTTCTGCTGTGATCTTCTACAGAGTTGTCATTGAGCTTGTAAATACAAACATTTGATGTCGGAGCATTTCTATCGTGACCTAAAAGCTCGGTTGTTTACGTCCATGCTGACATGAAGGAGTTGCAAATCTCCACCTTGGTCTGAGCGTTTGAAAGAATGTTTGTGGTGTCTTTCTCTTCACTTTCACATTGATGACAGGAAAAAATGTAAAAAAGAATATCTTTGTTTTGTGGAATACCGGCTACGTGTGTACATGGTCTGTGTCAGTCTGAGGCCCTGTCCACACGTAGCTGGGGATCTGCCAAAACGTAGATATTTTTCTACGTTTTGGCCTGTCATCCACACAAAAACAGATCTTTTTAAAAACTCCAGCCAAAGTGAAGATCTGCGTTTTCTCCGTTTTGGGTATCTGCGTGTGGACAGACAAAACCGGAGTTTTAAGGTCCGCAACGTCACTTTCCGCGACAAAAACACGCTGACATCACGTGTGCGACCTGTGTTTACACTAGCCGACAGCATGGATGCCCTCAGAGCTGCGCTCGCTTTATCAGTTGTCCAAGCGCTTTTTGCTTGTTTGTTTTTGCAAGCGGAATTACTGCTCCTTGTGGAAGACCACAGACGAAGGACGAGGTTAAGAACGGGGGAAGTACTGCCGCCTACAGGTCTGGCATGTCCTTAACAACGTATTTATCCGGGTACATGTGGACAGAGTTTTTTTAAAACGAGGTGGTGTGGATGCAAGTTTTTGGAGGGGCGGACATTCGTTTTTAAAAAAAAGCCGGCTACGTGTGGACTAGGCTTGAGTGTTTTGGTTATTTTCCTGAAGGCATAAGTTGATGTCCACAACACAGGAGAGACAATTCAGGTTAAGGCTCTTCTGTCGACTTGAAAATGTATTTTTTCAGATGAGTTTTTAAAAAGCCATTTTGTCAAAAGGGAACAACATCTAAAGTAAGATGTTTCTGGTTCCAACTCACCAAAACTCACAAACCAGATTTTTATCTGATCTTCTGAGAGTTTCACAGGCAGCTCCACCTTTAGGAATGTGATTCAAACATCTCACCTGTGGATCAAGACACCAAAGACCCTGATGGTCCCCAGGAGGGAGGGTTGCAGAAAAACCAGTTTACATTAACAAGCACGTCTAAAATGCTTGGTACTCTGTTCTTTTCTGTCTGAATTGAAAACGCTTTTAGATGAGATGGTAAGCATTAACAGAAAATAAAAAGGTCCAGTAATGAGCATGAAGTGGACAGTGTGAAGAAGAATTAGCATATAGTCAACCTGAAAAGTGAAATGTTCAATGAAAGTGTTAAATAGTAATGAGTGAATCAAAGATGGGAACAGAGGAAAGGGGAATTGTCAATAGCACACAGTGTATAATGAGATGGCCAGATTATACGGTATGGCAGTGCCTTCAACATTTAACATATTAATGCAATTTTCATTCTACTGTTCCTGAACATTCTCAGTTTCTTTCACTCCCAGAATCAGGTGGATCAAAGTTCACCATCGGGAAGTCTGTTTGGTTGCTGTGGGCACTGGTTTTCAACAACTCTGTTCCTGTGGAAAATCCCAGAGGAACCACCAGCAAGATCATGGCAAGTATTTGAGTACTGATGTGCTCTTTGCTTGGTTTGTTTCATTTTTTAACATCTCTGCTAAATGGTTTGTAAAAGGCTTGTAAAATCTGAGCCCTGCTTCACGCTGGAAGCCTCAGCAGCGTGAAAAGACAGCAAAACATTGCTGCTTCAAATGGAATTCTAGTCTAAGGGGGTGTTTCTAACCAGCGTGCCAGTTTCAGGCCCAGATGAGGCACACCGCACCCACTGCTAAAGATAGGATCAGGTTGTATTTTTGACGCGAGCCGATCTGGGACACAACAATTTCTGAAGTTAGACAATAAATCACATTCGGCTTCAGTGTAAAATGTCCAGTAAATTTCAAAATAAAAGTCTATTGCATCGATGCAATTTCATATCTATGTAGCGTTTATACATGCGACCTATCGGCTTTTTACTCCAAGCATCATTCGAGAAGTTCAACAGTTTGTTTTCATGGGTTTATTCCTGGCAGTGAGGAGAAAAAAACATATGACATCAAACAGTGATATCAAGTGTGATTCCCTTCTTTTTGGTTTAATGGCGTAAACAAACAGTGACCTTTGAAGGCTCGAGGGCTTTTGTGATCCTGCGAAGACGGCGACGGAGAAGCCGCTCCACGGCTGAGGCTCTCCTGGTGTGTACTGGCACGCAGCGAAGCTCACAAGTAAAGAGCTCCGTGACACCGATGCCTCCAGTGTCAAGTAGGGCGTATGCAGAATGCTGTTTTAGAACCGCTCTGTAACAAACTCCTTTTTTTTTTAATTGGCTCTAGAATTTTTCATGGCAATCAAAAATGACCTCAAGAGCTTATTAGCTGATTAGCATTTTATTTTCCAAACTGAAGGTTTGCTGCAGTTATGGTGCTTTGCTTCTCGACTATTATTCTTTCAGTGCTTAAACTTTTGTCTTTGCATGTCTTGTGCCGATTCTCCCTTCCCTTTTACCTCTTCCTGCTGTGCTCTCTCTCAAAATCTGATCCATATTTTATTAGAACTTCTAACAAAAACTTTGGATAAACATTTTCAAGGGAAGTAGGTTCTATGAATCTCATTATATTTATGCATTTCACAACTTTCTAAGCTCATTCATGGTCATCAATTAGTGACCCGGATACTCTGAATTAATAATTAATGACCGTTTATTACAAGTAATAAATATTAAAGTTTTAATTTTTTTTATATGTTCATCTTAAAGTAATAATGCAACTTGGATTCATTGTTAGAATCATCTTTTTTTATGCCTTAGGTGCCAAAGCTAAATCACAGTTGTTCACCTTTCAAATAAAAATTACTATTTTTGGGAACCACAGCAGAAGAAGAAGAAAACGAAAATATTTCTATAGCGCCTCTCAAGATAAAAATCACGAGACGCTTCACAAAAACAAAAAAAAATGTTAAAATGTAAAAAAGCATTTAGAAAATGTTTAAAAATGTATTTAAAATGAGCAAAAATAGGCAACTGGGATTTAAAGGAAAACATGTTAAGAAAGAGAGAGAGTGAACAGGAAAGAGGGAAACCAGTGGATCCTGAGGAAGGTGGAATGTAAGCAGGAGTATCTAATGGAAAAAGGTTAGTGGCAAATAGCCAGAGAAGAAGAAATGGGGTTTCAGGTCAATCCGTGCCATCTGCTTTCATTGCCAAAGGCTTTGTTTCCATGCACCCTGATGGCCCCCTCTGAGCATCATTTGGAGCCAAGTACCATTAAAAGAGTGTCCAAAAGCCTGTTACTGCATTATTTTATTTCATCTCTTTAAATGGTGGGTTTAAAGAAACTTAAATCGGCAGTGAGGCATGCATAAGTCAATAGATCATATCTTAGGATGCCAGTTAAATGTTGGTCAAATCAGGAATCAGAAATGTGAAAAATAAGCAAAAGTCTATGTCTTAAGGTCTTATTCCTTTAGTTGTTATATATTTGAGTTTTAAGGACACATGCCACAGTTTCAGTGACATTGTTTAACGTGTCACACTGACAAGACCTTCAAGGCGAGACGGAGCTTCTGCTGCAGAGTTTAAAATGAAAAGTCTTTCCCTCTTGTCAGACTCGCATGTCATTGTTCGTGTTCTCTGGACTTCTCCAGGTGTTAGTTTGGGCCTTCTTTGCTGTCATCTTCTTGGCCTCCTACACTGCCAACCTGGCTGCCTTCATGATCCAGGAGGAGTATATTGACACCGTGTCTGGACTGTCGGATAAGAAGGTAAGATCCGGGATGGATTTTTGTTGGGTGGAGACACTGATGGAAATTAAGAGGATACAAGAAATAAACTAATCATATTTATGTGATTCTTTAATTTGAAAGTTAAAAATGCTGAGTAATCATTAAAATAAATTTTTGTTCTAAATTATCCCTAAAAAAAGGCATAATGTCCCTTTCTGCTCCTTAATAACTTTCAGTGCAAGTCTTGTAATAATTTTGACTTATCTTAAACTGTTAATTCACCCATAACAGCAGGAAGAAGTGCAGTAGTCGTTTTCGGTGTGCTGGTGAGACGATAACTCGTATTCCCCATAAGATGCATCCTTGCTCCACTGACAGTTCATTCCTTCGGGTGATTTCAGCGTCTCGTCCTTGATATAGCTCGGCCAACCCGTCCAAGTCAGCTCCAGTACTTTGCATAGGACTGGGTCGGGGTGCTCTGTGCAATCTCTTTAGCCTGCACAGGAAGTTCCTCTACTAATGAGAAATAGAAGATGCTGTTCTCCTCTGCTGTATCATCCCTCCCCTTTTTCAGTAGTCTTCTTCAGTAGTAGCATTCTCCACTGATGTCCTGTACTCTATACAGTAGCCATATGCCATCAGTCTCAGCGGCCATCACTGCATACGCAATGCCGCTAGTATGGGGATTTCGGACTTGGGTCCTAAGATGGCGAGGAGTGGTTTGTGGTCCGTTATTAAACAGAATTTACAACCATACAGGTACTTATAAAATTTGGTCACGCCGAATATTATGGCTAAAGCTTCTTTCTTTATTTGACTGTATTTACTTTCTGCCTCAGTCAGTGTGCGTGACGCAAAGGCGATTGCGACATGACCGCACCTATCCCATAAGGGGATGCATCACAAGCTAGCCACAGGGGTTTCTTGGTGTCATTGTGAACCACTACTGAGCTCTTCACTAGCTGATCTTTTGCATTAGTAAATGCTGCCTCACACTCTGTTGTCCATTTCCCCTTTACATCTTTCTTTAAGAAGATGGTGTAGCGGCTGCAGAACTGTCAACAGGTCTTTCATGAAACAGCCATAGTAGTTCAACAGTCTTAGAGACCGTAGCTCTGTGACGTTCGAGGGCTGGGGTGCATTTACTATGGCAGCAACTTTTGTCTCCGTGGGGCGCAGTCCCTCACTGTCTATCAGATGTCCCAGGCACTCAACTTTCTCCTGCATGAAGGTACATTTAGCTCTTTTCACTCTCACCCCATAGTTTTCCAGCTGGCTCAGTATCTCTTCTAGGTTCCTCAGGTGCTCCTCTCTTGTTCGCCCCGTGACCAGTATGTCATCCATAAAACAGGTCACATGCTCTATGCCTTGTAGGATCTGGTCCATCACATTCTGGAGCATAGAGGGCACACCTCGTATGATAGTCTATGATAAGCATATGGCCCCTTGTGAGTATTTATAACCAAATACTTCTCTGAGTCTTTCTCTAACTCCAGCTGTTGGTAGGCATGTGACAGGTCTAATTTGCTAAAAAAAAACATGCCCCAGCCAGAGTGACAAAGAGATCTTCAACCGTTGGTAGCGGATAACTTCCCTCCTTCACATTCTGATTTACTGTGACTGTATAGTCTCCACAGATACCAAATGACTTGTCTGATTTTGGCACAGCTACTATTGGGGCAGCCCACTGACTGTGTTCTATCTTCGAGATAACACCAGCTATTTCCAACCTGTCTAACTCTTTTCTGACTACATCTTTTAGCACATATGGCACTGGCCTTGCCTTCTTGAAAACTGGTTTGGTGTCTGGTTTTACTGTGATGCTGGCCTTAAACTCCCTAATAGTGCTTGGCTCCTCAGAAAACACTGCCTTGTGTCTCTGCAGCACTGCCTCTACATCTGTGTCAGTTCTGCCCCCTGCTGGTACCACTGAGAATATGTTTACCCAGTCAAGCTTAAAGCTAGTTAGCCAGTTACGGCCCAGGAGGGCTGGTCTGTCACCCATCACTATTATGAGGAAAATCGCTGCTCTGGTTCTCATATTTTGCCTTAACCATCACTTGACCCATCAAGGGAATGCTGTCACCCGAAAAGGTTGACAGTCTCACCGTACTTTCTTTCACAAGCAAATGAGAAAGACTTTTCTTAAACACTATCTCCGAAACCAGTGTTACTGCCGCTCCGATATCAATCTGCATGTCTACTGGGACTTCTTCTAAATTTACGGTTACTCTAATGTCTTTTTTTTTCATTCCCCACGGTGTGGGTAGAGTACACCGTGTTCACCGTGTGATGCAAGCCGAACAATTCGTCATCATTTCCATTTCCTGCGGTGTTCTATGGAATGCTGGTTTCAGCCACATACTGTGTATGTCCCTGCCTGTTTTTTTTTTGTTTGTTTGTTTGTTTTACACATCCTTGCTATGTGTGCCACCTTTGAACACTTCCGGCATGTTTCTGTTTTAAACCTGGATATGTGTGCTGCACGATTGCTACCACCACATCGGTAACAGGGCCGGTACGTTTCTATTCTATGTGGTCTGGGATTTCCACTCATCGCCTTACTTCTCCACTCGCCAGTGGCAGGGTTGCTTTTCCACACACCCTTGCTTGCTCTCTTCTTGTCCATGTTATTCACAGTTGCATGACTCTTTGTATTACTGGCAAACTCCATCGTATTCTTCAATGCCATTTCCATTGATAAAGAGTTCACAAGCCTTTGCAAATGTCAGATCTTGTTCTGTGAGCTATTTTCTCTGAATGGCCTCAACCTTCAACCCACTGATGAATCTGTCTTTCAGTGCTTCATCTAAACGCTGACCAAAATCACAATGTGTGGACAGGCGCTTTAATGCCACCACATAATCCGACACAGACTCATTTTCTTGCTGGTTCCTTTTTTGAAATTTTAACCTTTCAGCCACAGCTAGCGGCTTGGGCTTATAATGAGCTGTTAATTTTCTGCTCAGTACTCCATATGAGAGCCTACTCGGCTTATCCGGTATATAAAGGTTTTTTTAACAGTCCATAAGCTTCTGCGCCCATCACCGACAGGAAAACGATGGCCTGCTTACTATCATCCACTTCATTTACAATCATCCATTGCTCAAACCTCTCCAGGTACGACTTAAAGTCTTCTTGTCCTTCCTTGTACTCGCCAAGATTCCCGATGAATGCTGCCATGCTTCTCCATCGATGTTAGGTCCGTTCGCTTTAGTTTAGTCTGCTAATAGCTAACTGTCTCGTAGTTTTCCGTTGCCTTCGTATAATCACTTAACTCAGCAAATGGATTTCCCCCTTTCTCTTTAAGGAAATCCCATCCTCGTAGCCACTGTATTAACTTGGACTTATTTTAAACTGTTAATATATCCATAACAGCAAAGAAGAGATGGAGAGCCACAATTCCTTCAGCTGGTCATCTCTTTAATGCCCAGACTCCGCCCCACATGCCCGGTCACAACCAGCCACTCTCGAACTCAAACATGACCACTAGATGGCAACATTCAACTACAAACAACATAGAATGCCAAGCAGAACAAGCTCCAGGATTTCTCGAACACAATGCAGTATCACTACATTACAAGTCTCTCTACAGCTGAAACACCATTAAACCTCGTCTGCTTAATAAACTCTCCCTGTACTCTTCAGAAGGCGGTTGAGTCGAGTCTTGTTTTTGAAACTGAAGACTTTGAAACTCTGTAGTACTTCTTCCTGCAGCAGGGATCAGCTTCTCTTCATTTTTCTTTCCTTTTAGCTGCTTCCTTTTTAACTTCCCTCTTCCCATCTGCCACTTTAATCTCTGCCCACCTGTTCTTCTGGTGTAGTTTCAGCAGCCGACGGAGCAGTATCCACCACTGCGTTTTGGAACGGTGCCGAATGGCAGCACAGAGGAGAACATCCGCTCCAACTATCCCAACATGCACCAGTATATGATTCGCAACAACCAGAAAGGCGTGGAGGAGGCCATTGATAACCTGAAGACAGGGTAAGAAAATTGAGAGGTGGTGGAACCTTAAGGAAGAGAAGAAGATTTAGACATTTTGCAAAAATGTCATTTTCCTGATTAAATAAAAATGTTCTAAAGCGCACCCGTTTTAGTAAAAAATCTAAACTGAATCAGTTCCTAGAGCAGCCCTGAGTCATGACTCAGTTTTGTTAAATCTGTCAGTCGTCCATACACTGAGTGGGTGACTTAACTCAGTCATTTGTAGAGAAGCACCCACATCAAGGGTGTTCAATCATGATTCATGGAATTGGGAGCAAATTTATACCAGACTGTGTACAGATGCTGCATCACATACGTTGAAGCTACTATACCACATCTGCAAACAAGTTATGTTTTCAACGCAAACACGGTAATGGAACACTCATGCCTCCCCTCAGGTATTGTTACTGGTTCCGTGTCCACCAGAACCAGGAACCCACACTGCCAGAAGAGACAAGATAGTGCTAAACACCAGTCACTGTTTACTAGGTCTAAACCTCTTTTCTTGTCTGTGACTTTAAATGGTGTTTTCTTCTTTTTAAGACTGGTACTTTGTCCTAAAGTTAAAGCTGAAACAGCCAGCTGTTTCTCCTTCTCTGATGATATTGAACAGAGAACCTTTTTTTTGGTGGATATTTTTGTATCTTCAGTTTTCATCCTGAAGACCTCATTAGAATCTCCTCGGTTTTCCCGTGGATGGCGAGCTACCATTAACAACGAACCTCCCTTGGAAAAAGGACTAAATGAACTTGAGTTCACAAGGACCAAAAGCTGTGTGATCTTTAGGACTTGAACTGAGTAGCATTTTCGTTACCCTGTTATGTTATCGGCTGCTAAATATGCGTAATGAGTGGAGGACCCAGGGAAGCGCGGGAGTTTGGTGGTTTGGCAGGATCAAGAACCAGATGGCCCAATAGTTGCTTTTGGTCTGAAACCTGTTATTGGCGTAGACAAATGCTGGTTAACTATTGTATTAATTTTTCTCATTTTGACCTCCACAATATATTCATAGCTATGTTATGTTAGAAGGCATGAAAAAAAAATTGTTTGAAGCTACCTTTTTTCCAAATTTGCTAGAACAGCTTTAAACCACTTTACCAGAATGGATAGAGCTGTTTCCACTAATCCCCTAAACTATTTAATGATTCAATCTTTTGCTAAATCTTCCAAAATAATGGAACACTCTGGGATTCTGTTTTCAAAAACACCTCAGGCTATCCATTCAGAATTGTTCAATTCCGTTTCAAATAAGAACATCCAATTATTTTTATGTACAGTGACAAATCCTCTGTTTTTTATTTTATTTTTTTGGTTTTTTTTTTTTTTTTTTTGTTTTTAACACCATGTGGGCCACTTGAGCAAAATAGCGAATTGGGAAGACTTCCTGGAACACTCAATGGAATAAAATTAAATTGAGGGAAATTAAACAGTTATAACAATAATGAATTGTGTTGTCGGCAAGATCCAAGCATGTCTAAGGCATTCATCCAATTTATGCACATTAGTGCTGTCGTGGACATTCAGAAGCAGCTGTTCTTCTAGCAAACAGTGACCGGACAAGCTGTTGTTTCTGCTGCAGTTAACATCTGCTCTGTGTGTCCAGGGCAGAAAGAAGCACACGTTCATCCATTTTCCACACTTGCTTTGTCTTGTCAGGGTCAGGGCAGGAGCTTAACTTCTTCCAGCTGAAGCAAAGCAGGCAGTGGGGTCCACCACTTCATCACAATCACATCTGCACACTAAACTGTTGGAGTTAAATATAACTACCAGTTGATATTAGAATTTTTTTGGTCTGTAACAGGAAATCAAAGTACTGGAAGAAAACCTAGTTATGGAGAACTTTCAAACTCCACAAATATTCATAAAATGAAGCTTTTAAAAGTTGGTGCCATTTTATTTTCAGAAAGTATTGCAACTGTCATGTTCTGAGCAATAAAATCTCATTAATAGGGAAAAATGTAAAGTTTTCAAAAGTGAGTAAAATAAAGATAATATGTTTTGCATTTGTGCTTTGGTCTACTTGTCTGCAAATCAATGGCAAGTCCAACTTTCACTCTGCTTACTGTGGAGTCCCTCAGGGATCATTCATTGAACCCATAATTTTGGGCACAATTTTTTTAAGTAATCTCTAAAAAAATTTTTTTTTCTTCCTTTCTGGTCACAACACACCCCTTTCACTCACTTTTGGTGATCACATCAAACACCTTTGTAAAGGTTGGTATAGGTCATACAACTGGTGATTTTTTAAATCACTCTGTGTGGACTCAAGCGTTAAAATATCAGACAACTATTAAAAGATTAAAAGATATCGCCGTGTGATCCAGGTTTAAGAAATATTTACCAAGTTGTGTTCCCTGCTCACCCTTTCTGATTAACACTTTAGTTTATCTCAACACAGTTACTGTAATTTTACAGGCATAGAACTGATAGAAGTTTGAAGTGGAGCAGAATGAGGAAGTTAACAGAGAGCATGAAAAGTTTGGGAATCGGAAGTACCACGACAAGGAAAAAGAGACAGACATCTCAACAACTAAAGGCAAACAGCCTGCACCTGCAAAGCATTTGAACACAAACACTTTACTTCATCTGGCATAAAAAGAACTAACAGCATCTTTTTGTATAACTTACAAGCTTTTTTTTCTTTTAACAAAAGCCTTCATTTGTAACAGCCACCATCCTTTTAACAGTTTATTCCTTTTGCAGATTGTTTTCATCCTTGACTTGAGGTAATCTTGTCCAGAAGCCTTTACACCTGACTCAGCCTGTTAGTGCATTGATCTGCATTGCCTCAGGAGCTTGGGCTAACAGTTGTAACCTCCACAGTCCCATCAGGATCATTGCCACTGCACATAATGGGAAATAAGGGAGGGGAAACAAACCAGCACAGGAAATTAACAGCTTGTAAATAATACATTCAGAAACCGCAGTGCAGTCGAGATCTTACTGTAAACTTCACAGCCCAGCTGCCTGGTTTTCAAATGTGTGTGTGCTGATTTAAATAATTAAATACAAAAGAAACACTTCAGAGCTGCAAGAAGATTTGACACCGTCTTAATTTCCTGTGACATTTCTTTTATAACTCATCATTCTTGTACCTCCACCCTTAATATGCTCTCCCCTCTTTCATTATCTACTGTTTATCTCCTTTTTATGAACTCTCTTTACTTCTCATCATTGTGTTATTTATGACGGACGCATTTGTTTATTAAATTCCAGCAAAATGATGAGAACAATAAACCGTTGGTCACTTTTCCATTTTCATTCAATCATTAATTCCATCTTGATCTGGACTTAGTTTCTTCCTCTCTATTATCTCTTCAGGCTTCCCCATTTTCCCACCTTCATGTGACCCCTCTTTATCTCCTGCTCAGTCGACCCCAGCTTTGCCTCCTTTCAGGTTTTCACACTTCAGAGTTTCTCTGCTTCCATGAGCAGTTAGACTGTGACGTGCAGATCCCTGAGTGAGGATACAAATGACTGTGAAGTGGAAGAGCATCAAATCCAGAGATACACCTCATCGGCCGGAGCTGAGCTGTTAAAACCAACTTTTTATTGTTATGAATGGATTTAATTCGCCTTTTACTTGCATGCACCTTCCTACTCTTCCTTACCTGCAGTGAGTGATTTAAACTGTGTTTAAAACTGTGTTCTAAACATATTTACCATTTGTTAATTAATGCCATAATTTCCAAGAAATTTAAAATGAAAATATTTTAATGATGTTTTTTAATTATATTTCATAGTAGTGATAAATGGATCAACAGACAGATAGAGCAAAACTCCCTTTTTAGGAGAGACATGTAGACTAGATAGTGATCTGACAAGCAGCAAGTTATAAACACTGAAGAATGCACAGATTAAACAAACAAATGACAGCCGAAAAGATAATTATTCAGTGACACGCAATAATAGCATGGAAACGATATAAAAGTGAGCAGATAAGGAAGGTGTTCAACCCATCATGGGAGTGTCCTCAGCTGTCTGAGCCCATTGCAGCAAACCTGAATGAAAGTCAAAGATTTCCCTTTACAGAAGGAACTTTAACAGATTTTTCTAAAGTGAATGAACGAGAGGTGAATCCTGAACCGGGAGGCATGAAGTCAGCTTTGCAATATTTATCCAAAAAGGACAAATGAAAACATTGTAGTGATTACAAAAGGAAAGCCTGCAGTCTGAGAGCGAAACACTTAAACACTCGTTGGATGTGCTACTACTAGTTTACCCGTTTAATTATAGATCCACTAGGACAAATACAATAAAGTTTATCTTTCACCAAATAGAATATTTACTAAGACATCACAATATAACTATAGACACATTACTTGTCTTTGTGTGTGTGCGTGTGTGTGTGTGTGCGTGTGTGTGTGTGTGCATGCGGGTGTGCACGTGTGTGTGCATGTGTGCACGTGTGTGTGTGTGCACGTGTGTGTGTGTGCACGCGTGTGCGTGCGTCTGTGCGTGTGTGTGTGTGTGTGTGTGTGTGTGTGTGTGTGTGTGTGTGTGTGTGTGTGCGTGTGTGTGTGTGTGCGTGTGTGTGTGTGTGCATGCGGGTGTGCACGTGTGTGTGCATGTGTGCACGTGTGTGTGTGTGCACGTGTGTGTGTGTGCACGCGTGTGCGTGCGTCTGTGCGTGTGTGTGTGTGTGTGTGTGTGTGTGTGTGTGTGTGTGTGTGTGTGTGTGTGTGTGTGTGTGTGTGTGTGTGTGTGTGTGTGTGTGTCTGCTCTGTCTTCTCCATCCCCAGTGAGTCGTGGAGGATGGCTGCTTATACTGAGCCAGGATCCTCTGGAGGTTTCTTCCTGTTAAAAGGGAGTTTTCCTCTCCACTGTCGCTGCATGCTTGCTTAGTATGAGGATTGCTGTATAGTCACTGACACTAGTCAGTGACTTGATGCAATTTGCTGGGTTCCTTATATAGGAAACATTATTTCTGATTGGCTTAATGAACTGACCTGAATTGGAATGTTTATTATGTGAAGTGCCTTGAGACGACTCTTGTCGTGATTTGGCGCTATATAAATAAACTTGAATTGAACTGAATTGAATTAAAAAGAAAACTATGCCGTTTTGGCTTGCTTTTAGCAACCCCTGTTTAAACTCACTGTAGTAAAACCGAAAGTGAAACTGTTCTCCTCGCTGTGGGTTTGTCTTTTTAACACCTTAATCTAACTGCTGCAATGTCTCCTCAGCATTCATTAGTTTCTACATGAGTGGTTCATCAATAAATCAAACAAATCAGCTATGTTCACAAACTGAAACATGCAGGAATCATGTGATGGAATATGCTGGTGAAGGTTCTCAGTCATCCAGATCATGGTAATCCAAAAGGGTTCAAATGCAGGCAACTGGACTTTTCTTGGAGACGTTTCACTTCTCATCCCAGGAGCTTTGTCAGTTCTGACTGGAATATTGGAGAGTCAAGCTTATAAGCTGCAGCTGTCTGTTGTTGCTTAATGAGCAGAAACTCCCTCTGAGTACCCCTCGCTCCTACCACCTGATGGGCTGTTAGCTTCTATTTTGAGGGAGTTGTTGTATTGATTAGATGCAGGAGGGTGTGACCTAGACTCAAACTGTTATGGAATAAGATTTTAAGTTAAACTAAAGGTGCAATTCAGAACTGACAAAGCTCCTTGGATGAAAAGCAAAACCTCCTCAAGAAATCAAAGTCCATGTGATGGAAGCAGACTACAGGGCTGGCATGTCAACACCACGTTATTAAACCCTTAAAGGGACCAGCTCGGATACTCTCAAGTTGCTAGTGTGGTATTCTTGTCACAAGGCGTGGTGGGTTCTAAGGAACTTTTCCTTAACCCTGTAAAGGGTCATGTTAGCACATACTAGCTCAAGAAAAATATTTTAAAATATGAAAAAGTTTAATAGTATGCCTTTAAAGCAGATATCCATGTTTTGTCAGAAGGCACCATCTAGAGGTAGAAAAATGTATTGCATGTTAAAGCCCTCTTCCCTACCTCAGTGATTACAGCCAGAAGTAGTGACTCTTGTTCATGAACACGCGCCTCTAGCCGGGCAATAGAGCAAAAACACATTATTTTACAATTATTATTTTCACATTATTAGATTTATTCACATATATTATTTGTTTAAAGATGCAAATTTGGAAAACCAATTAGCTTAACTCATTCACTGCCAGCCATTTCCTGATCGCTAAAGGCCTTTGCTGCCAGCGCTTCTCACCGTTTTTACTGTATTTTTAAGAGTCACAGAACATTGCACGCTAGGATGATGTCAACGTCAAAACTTTCAAAACAAAGAGGAGACTTGCCTCTCACATCAGGAAGTGTCCGCGTGTTTCAAGTGTTATCCGTTCTTTCATGATCCATTGTCAAATTGTGATCGGTAGATGCTTTTCCGGTTCGTGCCTCGCTTTTTCTTTTTTTTTTTTTTTACAGGAACGATATCCTAACACACGGATTTTCTGCTTCCTGATCATGTGACGTGTGACGTATGTGGATGAAGATCGGCTTCAGAGCTGAGATGTTTGTTCTCTCGGCACGGGGGCTCGTTCCGATACCCACACAGTAAAAATATGCAAATGATGACTTTAGTCGTCATTGGCAGTGAACGGTTGGATCTAAAACGACGAGTTTAATCGTCAAGGGCAGTGAATGAGTTAACACTGTTTTGACATTGTACAGCATATTGTGGAGTTAACAAAAAACATCTAAAATAAATAAAAAATATGGTTTTCTTGCATTTGACAAAAACTTCATACCAAAAGTAACTATTGGACCATCTGGTTGTCGGTTTTGCCTAAACCAAGGCACTGCCGCACCTCCCTTGGTCCTCCATTCATTACACTCTCACGTATTTAACTACAGAACACCACTGGTGTCTGAAGTTCGCAGCTCATAATATCAGAGAAGTAGAAACAGCCGGCTGCTAACACTTCAACTTTAGGACAAACTAGAGTCCCCAAAAGAAAAGCACCATTTGAAGTCACGGACAACAAAAGCTTTTTGGACCCAGAAACAGCGACTGGTGTTTTGCATGTTCTTGCTTCCTCTGGCAAAGTGGGTTCCTGGTTCCAGCAGAATGTCTCAGGGAAGATACCTGGGGGGAGGGGGAATGCTCTGTGATTGTGTTTGCTTTGTGAACCTAGCTTGTTTACAGAATTGTTATAACAGCTTTAAAACTTACTTGTCCATAATAAATGCCACAGACTCTGCATCAGTCTATGTCCGCTCACACTGTAATAGACATCTGCTTGTAAACACATGGCGTACACTATTGACTAATGTTGAGTGGCGCTCAGTTCAAATTGCACGGGCCTCTTTGGAGCATTGGCAACGTTAACACACAAACAAAACGCTTACTGCCTACAATATATCAGTACAGGGTAAGACAAAAATCTAAAAAATCATACATTATATCTGAAGGGCAAAACTCCAGATTAGAGTTTATGGAACTACAGTGATCCCTCAGTACTTCGCGGTTCGTTTATCGCAGATTCACGACTTTGCGGATTTTTTCTTTGGAGCCTTATTCAAGGGAAATTCGCTGATTCGCTGTATTTTTCACCGATTCGCGGTATTTTTCTATGCGAAATATCAAGAAATTCCTGTTTTTTTCATCAATTTCATCATAAAATGCACTTTTTGTAATAAAACTATTAAAAAAACAAGTAAAAATACAGTACTATGTAAAGGGAAGGTTTTAAAAGTCTGAATACTGAACACGTACCTGTTAAATAAATACTGTAAATATGGTGTCCCTGCTTCGCGGATTTTCACCTATCGCGGCCAGGTCTGGAACGCATCTACCGCGATAAATGAGGAATCACTGTAAACGATGATGAAACTTAGCACTGAGTGAAAAGAAGGATTTTACAGGAAGTCAGTGATGACGAACTAAAATAATAATGATCCCCCCTGCAAATAGTCACCAGAACTGTTGTAGCATTTTAGGTCAGCTAGAACTTTATGGATCAATGACTTGATATTTTCAATATTTCTATAGCAAGGAATATAAATTCAAAGCATTTCAAATAAAAACATTAAACAAAGTAAACAAGCAAAAATGACTAGAACTTTAACAGTTACTAGAGCTAAACTAGTAATGAGAATAGTTATCGACAAGACTGACATCTCTGCACATTCATGAACAATTTGCTTTTTCCTTGCATGCAGCTGCAGATTGAGATTACAAACAACTGTGAGCATTTCTTTTTTTGTCATGCTGAGCTACATTCAGTCCCTTTTACTTAAATCCCAACCTCCCCCGATGCAGCTTTGTATTCGGCTCTTTTGTAGCGATTGAAGGAGCAGAAATGACACGTCTGTCTCCACTGCGATGAATTTCTCCTTGTTAGATTTTTGACAGTTGCGGCAAGATGGTGTGCAGAAAGAACCCCCCCCTTCTAAAATCATTTTTCTTTTGTACAGAGTTGTTGTCATTGTGCCCTTTTTTCCTTCACTTCTGTCATTTTGTTCACTTCCTCTATTGCCATTTAGTTCCAGGGCAGTGATTTCCAATTCTTGGATGTAATTTTCCTCCTTCATTCCTCCCCTGCAGAAAACTAGATGCCTTCATTTATGATGCCGCCGTGCTGAACTATATGGCCAGAAAGGATGAGGGCTGCAAGGTATGAAATAGGTCCGCCATTACACAGCTCTGCACAGTGACACACTCATACATGAAGACGGCGATCGTTGAAAGGCTCTTTTTCTTGTTTGCACTGTAAAAAAAAAGATCATAAAATATAACCGTCGCACATTCTTGTGGGAAACACAAGCGCCAAGCAAAAGTAAGTGTTTTCAGAAGGCGGCAAATCTGCTTTCAATGAATCAAACACATCTGGTGCTTTCATTTTTATCCATTTAGCCTATAGCTAGTTAATATTGTCATTCCTGGACTGGACTGATGTTGATTTATTTATAAGGCCCCTCTCTTTCTCTCTCACAGCGAGAATAAAACTCCTGTTTAATAATCATTTGTAATAAAGTCTGAAGGAGGCCTGAGCTCCCAGAAGCCTCATACAGCAGCTACCGCTGCAGTAATTATTACAGCTGATGCAGATCTGTATTAATACCTCCTATGAAACAATCACTCACTCTGTCTGGCTCTGGGATTCTGAAGGATGTAAACATTTTAACTCAGACAATTGAGCAATTTCAGATTTTAATTTTTTTTTTTTTTTGTTTGTTTTTCAAAAAAGGTGATGACAATCGGCTCTGGGAAGGTGTTTGCTACCACAGGCTACGGCATTGCTCTGCACAAGAATTCTCGTTGGAAACGACCACTGGACCTGGCGCTGCTGCAGCTGGTTGGAGATGGTAAGACAAGTTCAGGCCAGTTACCATATAAAGTTTATTTTCTCAGACTTTGCTCATTGTCTTCATATTTGCAAAAGTGCCACGTGACTAAGTTTCATTTAATAGCTATTTTTATGCTAAAAACCCAATCCTGTTACTCTTTAATAAAAAAAGTCAGCCATCTTTGTTTTAATAACTTTGAAAAAGAAAGAAACGCTTTTTGATTAACCAATGCCCATTTAAAATATGTAGATATATACATTATGTGATTAAGTTTAGATAAGATTATGATCTGTTTGAATTAATAAAAAGAGTTTTATTTTTTGAAACTGGCAATAAGCAAATGACGCCCTTTGACTCAGGTAGAAATCTTATGCTTAAAGCACATCGCTTGATGCATTAGTACTCCTTAAAAGCAGAGGTATGGTCACAGCCTTTGATTTCCTTTAAGCACACACTTTTAGACTTGATTTCTTGCAAATTTTATAAATGGTTTATTCTTCCAAAAAAATAGTTCAAAATTCATTCAAAACGTTCTACTTTTCATCCAACGAAAATTAACCTTAAATTAAATGATCAGGTCTAAAAAATTGTCAAAAAATCATTTAACCAAATCCTCCCATCTCCCCTGACACTTGGCAAACACGCCTCCCCATGTGCTACTAATCAGCTTAATGACTAAGGCGTGTCCAAAAAGTTCACAACTACATCAATTTACCAAAAAATTAAAAATCAACACATTTAAATTGCAAACCTAACTTATTATAAAAGGAATGATAAGAAATTCTAAAAGAAATTGATAACTAGCAGATTTATGCTATTTTACTGAAATGGCCACCACAGGTATCACAGCAAGAAGTTCTCAAATGAGCCTCCAACACATTGGCAACATGTTTCTCCTGTTTTTAAATCAGGGTTAGCAAACTCTAAACAGATCCTCATAAATATAGGTGTAGATAGGATTAGCATTGTTTAGGCTGCTTTGAAGATTAACTGTCTTTCATTTTTGACTCAGAAAACTTCAGTTTCCCCAATGCCATTTGAAAGGGGAGTGTATTAACACGTTTAGGAGCCAAAGGAGCTGGACCAAACCAAACACAAGGACTAGCTAACAGGTCAAGAACCATGAATATCTGACAAATACGCTGAGAAAAAGGACAAGAAGGGTAATTGCTGAATGAGGGCAGCTGAGATGGTTGATAAAAAAACAGGTGCATGAAGAAGCTGGTGGGTGGGGGCGTGAACAGTGATCCAGGGGACAAACAAACCAAAATGCTAAGCTTACAAACTAAATCCAAACCATAGAGGTGAAGCAAAAATAAACATGACAAAATACCAACAAAACCCAAACTAAATAAAATGAAAATGTTAGCCTTAAACTAAGAAAAGTATCATGTATAAAAAAGGTATCAAAATGTTTGTTAATTTCCTTACTTGTCATTCATCACATCTCTTATTTGAGGGATTTCGTCTTCTTCGTCTTCGTCTTCCTCCGCTTATCCGGGTCCGGGTCGCGGGGGCAGCATCCCAACTAGGGAGCTCCAGGCCGTCCTCTCCCCGGCCACCTCCACCAGCTCCTCCGGCAGGACCCCAAGGCGTTCCCGGACCAGATTGGAGATGTAACCTCTCCAACGTGTCCTGGGTCGACCCGGGGGCCTTCTGCCGGCAGGACATGCCCGAAACACCTCCCCGGGGAGGCGTCCAGGAGGCATCCTGACCAGATGCCCAAACCACCTCAACTGGCTCCTTTCGATCCGGAGGAGCAGCGGTTCTACTCCGAGTCCCTCCCGAATGTCCGAGCTCCTCACCCTATCTCTAAGGCTGAGCCCGGCCACCCTACGGAGGAAACTCATTTCGGCCGCTTGTATCCGCGATCTCGTTCTTTCGGTCATTACCCAAAGCTCATGACCATAGGTGAGGATTGGGACGTAGATCGACCGGTAAATCGAGAGCCTGGCCTTCTGGCTCAACTCCCTCTTCCCCACGACAGATCGGCTCAGCGTCCGCATCACTGCAGACGCCGAACCAATCCGCCTGTCGATCTCCCGATCCCTCCTACCCTCACTCGTGAACAAGACCCCGAGATACTTAAACTCCTCCACTTGAGGTAGGACCTCTCCCCCGACCCGGAGGTGGCAAGCCACCCTTTTCCGGTCGAGAACCATGGTCTCAGATTTGGAGGTGCTGATCCTCATCCCAGCCGCTTCACATTCGGCCGCGAACCTACCCAGCAAGAGCTGAAGGTCAGAGCTGGATGAAGCTAGGAGGACCACATCATCCGCAAAAAGCAGAGACGAGATTCTTCTGCCACAAAACTCGTCACACTCCACACCACGGCTGCGTCTAGAAATTCTGTCCATAAAAGTGATGAACAGAACCGGTGACAAAGGGCAGCCCTGGCGGAGTCCAACCCTCACTGGGAACAGGTCCGACTTACTACCGGCTATGCGGACCAAACTCACGCTCCTCTGGTAAAGGGACTGAATGGCCCTTAACAGAAAGCCACCCACCCCATACTCCTGGAGCGTCCCCCACAGGGTGCCCCTGGGGACACGGTCATAAGCCTTCTCCAAATCCACAAAGCACATGTGGATTGGTCGGGCAAACTCCCATGCCCCCTCCATCACCCTTGCAAGGGTATAGAGCTGGTCCACAGTTCCACGGCCAGGACGAAAACCACATTGCTCCTCCTCGATCTGAGATTCAACTATCGATCGGACCCTCCTCTCCAGTACCTTGGCGTAGACCTTTCCAGGGAGGCTGAGGAGTGTGATCCCCCTATAGTTGGAACACACCCTCAGGTCACCCTTCTTAAAGATGGGGACCACCACCCCGGTCTGCCACTCCCTAGGAACTGCCCCCGATGACCACGCAATGTTGTAGAGACGTGTCAGCCATGACAGCCCTACAACATCCATAGCCTTGAGATACCCAGGACGAACCTCATCCGCCCCCGGGGCTCCGCCGCTGTGTAGTTGTTTGACTACCTCAGCAACTTCTGCCCCCGAGATTGGACAGTCCATCCCCAGGCCTCCCAGCTCTGGTTCCTCCTCGGAATGCGCATTGGTGGGATTGAGGAGCTCCTCAAAGTATTCCTTCCACCGTCCGACTATAGCCTCAGTTGACGTCAGCAGCTCCCCATCCCCACTGTAAACAGTGTGAGCGAGTTGCTGCCTTCCTCTCCTGAGGCGCCGGACAGTTTGCCAGAACCTCTTTGGAGCCGATCGATAGTCTTTCTCCATGGCCTCACCAAACTCCTCCCACGCCCGAGATTTTGCCTCGGCAACTGCCACTGCTGCACCCCGCTTGGCTATCCGGTACCTGTCTGCTGCCTCCGGAGACCCACAGACCAGCCACGCCCTGTAGGCCTCCTTCTTCAGCCTGACGGCTCCCCGAACCTCTGGTGTCCACCAGCGGGTACGGGGGTTGCCACCACGACTGGCACCGGCCACCTTACGACCACAGCTAGCAACAGCCGCCTCGACAATCGCAGAGTGGAACAAGGCCCACTCGGACTCAATGTCCCCCACTGCTCTAGGGACGTGGTCAAAGCTCTGCCGGAGGTGGGAGTTGAAGACCGTCTTGACAGGTTCTTCTGCCAGGCGTTCCCAGCAGACCCTCACTATGCGTTTGGGTCTGCCAGGTCTACGCGGCATGTTCCCTTGCCATCTGATCCAACTCACCACCAGGTGGTGATCAGTTGACAGCTCCGCCCCTCTCTTCACTCGGGTGTCCAAAACATACGGCCGCAGGTCAGATGATACGACTACAAAATCTATCATCGACCTGTGACCTAGGCTGCCCTGGTACCAAGTGTACCGGTGGGCATCCTTATGTTCGAACATGGTGTTCGTTATGGCCAAACTGCGGCTTGCACAGAAGTCCAATAACAAAACACCGCTCGAGTTCAGATTAGGTGGGCCGTTCCTCACAATCACACCCCTCCAGGTCAAGCTGTCATTGCCCACGTGAGCATTGAAGTCCCCCAGCAGGACAATGGAGTCCCCTGATGGAGCACTATCTAGCACTCGTCCCAGGGACTCCAAAAAGGGTGGGTACTCTGAACTGATATTTGGCCCATAAGCACAAACAACAGTCAGGACCCGTTCCCCGACCCGAAGGCGCAAGGAAGCTACCCTCTTGTACCCCGGGGTAAACCCCAACACACAGGCAGAGAGTCTCGGAGCTAACAAAAAGCCAACCCCAGCCCTCCGCCTCTCACCCGGAGCAACTCCAGCAAAGTAGAGTGTCCAACCCCTCTCCAGGTCTCGGGTTCCAGAGCCAATGCAATGTGTCGAGGTGAGTCCGACTATATCTAGCCGGTACCGCTCAACCTCTGCCACAAGCTCCGGCTCCTTCCCCGCCAGCGAGGTGACGTTCCATGTCCCAAAAACTAGTTTTCTTGTCCGGGGATTGGACCGCCAAGGCTCCCGCCTTGGTCTGCCACCCGATTCGCATTGCACCGGACCCTTCATGTTCCTCCTGCGGGTGGTGGGTCCACAGTTGGACGAGCCCATGTATCCGGTTCGGGCTGGGCCCGGCCGGGCCCCATGGGCGAAAGCCCGGCCACCAGGCGCTCGCTCACGGGCCCCAACCCCAGGCCTGGCTCCAGGGTGGGACCCCGGTAACCCTCCGGGCCGGGTACTCCGACTCTTCGTTTTAACCGCCATGAAAGATCCTTCGAACCGTTCTTTGTCTCACCCTTCACCTAAGACCAATTTGTCATGGGAGACCCTACCAGGGGCACTAAGTGCCCCAGACAACATAGCTCCTAGGATCATTAGGGCACTCAAACTCCTCCACCACGATAAGGTGACGGTTCAAGGAGGAGCTTGATTTGGGATTTGATTTGAGATAATATATATATATATATATATATATATATATATATATATATATATATATATATACATATATATATATATATATATATATATATATACATATATATATATATATATATACATATATACATATATATATATATATATATATATATATATATATATATACATATATAT